CGTTTTCATATTTAAAGGATTTGCCACTGATGATTCAAACGCGAGTTTTGAGCAGTGTAGAGTAGCGCTTGTTGTTGGTAATTTAAGTATAAGTCATTATAATCCGTAATTATGTCCCCACTGGATGCAACAAATGCCTCGTTTATAATGGGTTTTAATGTTTTTGTCTCGTCGCTCCGCCGGACACAACTATATACCCGCTTACAATGCTTCTAAGTAGCTGCCTATGTAGACAGCAGACTGTGAGGCAGCTCACTAGGGTTTGGAACAGAGTATTTGGCAACCTATCAGAAAACATCAACGACATGAGCATGAGGATTATGATTGTGAAAATGCTACACAAAAGACATTTTTTACTAATCAGCAAACTGTGATCTTCAGCAGCTCATACCTGACGCCTCTGAGCCTGAGTGCACAGACTCTCCCTCCGAGAAGGACACAGACTCAGACTGGGAATCACTGGCCTCGCTGCGAGTATCGTAGTCGTTCTGTTCATTTCCCTCCCGTGGGTCGTCCTCCTCCTCCAGTTCATACTCCTCCTCTTCTTCATCCTCCTCATCTTCCTCCTCTGCTTCCTTCTCTTCCCCTTCCTCCTGCATGGCTCCTTCCTCTTCGACATCCGAGCAGTTGCCCTCAGAGGAAGCCACAGAGCTGCCAGTCACATATTCTTCTGAATGAGCCTCTTCCTCTCTGGAGGAACGACTTACTCTGCTTGTACTGTCCTCACTAGTCCTCCGCATCTTCTGAAAACAAGTCTTTGTATTACACACCATGCTTTCTATGCAGCACAGATGCTGATTTGTTTTTACAAAAAAATTTTTTTTAAATATGTTAAATATGTGAAAAAAAGAATCAGACAGTAAAATCAGCAATATCTAATTATCTAAGAATAATAATAATAATGGATTCAAATTAAGACAATTTAATACATTACATTTTAATAATTACAGGTACCTATGAAATCTATTTTTCACAAAGTCCGTTTAATTCATACAGTGCAGACTATTACATTTGATCACTTCATTCAATTTCTGACGCATTTCAGACTACTGTTAGACCTATCTGAAAAACAAACTATTTACGACTGAGCCTGGTTTCTCCCAAGGTTTTTTCTCCATTTCTGTCACTGATGGAGTTTTGATTCCTTGCCACTGTTGCCTTTGGCTTGTTTAGTTGGGGACGCTTGACTGACTGCACAGACACTATTGGAAGAGAGCTGAACTGGATGATGACATCACTGAATCACCAATGAACTAACTTAAGCTGGAAAAATGACACTTTTTTTATTGTCTTCTTGCATTATTGACAAACGATTTTCCTGTTTGACACTGAAAAGCTGCTTTGACACAATCAGTATTGTATAAATCGCTATAAAAAAAAAGGGGGAAAAATGTTTTATTAAATTCATTTGACCTATTTTTTGTAATATGCCATTACACCAAATACACAAAATACTGTTCTTTTTAGCAGCATCATATGACCCCTTTATTAATTACTACTGTCATAACAACCTTATCTTCTTCATTCATTCAACTTCCTCAGACACTGATAAAACCTGTAATTTCTGACTCTGAAAGAGATCACGTAATTTTTTAAAAAGGCACAAAAGTGCACATTTTCACTGACAAACTTTAATGCTTTGCATCATATGTCATCATATGTTTTTGTTCAGCAACGAAAGAGACTCAGACACATGTTTTGAACGAGCAACGGCAGAATCTGAGGTGCAACGTTGATCCACACAAGAAGAACTTGTCGCAGCCATGCTGATAAACAGCGATAACACTTTCTTTCTCATGCCGTTTTGTTTATTTACTTGATGGCTACCACCACATGACTTTTTTGAGTCAATAAATGTATACTTTTATTTTCCTATTTTAAGAAAAATTAAAGAAAAAACATTTATGATCAACAAAAAATGCAAAAACAAACTACATCTATGTTATACCTGCCCTCTCTTACCTCGGTCAGCTCAGGCAGCAGGGGTTTAATCAGTCTCTGGGAGTCTCTGCTGCGGGACAGGCCTTTTTCACCATATCCTTTAGATAAATCAGCCCGGGATGCACCCCCTCTTCCAGCATGGTTCTTTCTGTCTTCATAGAGCTCTTCTGGTGCATGTCTTCCTCTGAGATTGCTTGTCTTTTTCGACCCAGAAGAAGGGGTAGCTCTCTTTAATGGCTGTCTGGTAGTGTGTGCCGATGCTCTGAGCCGCTTTGCATCCTGGCTGCCTCCTCGTTCGTGCTTCCTTTTAGACCCTGAGGCATGAGGTAAACGATCGGTTAATGTGGAAATAGTCTCACAGACACACAGCCATTTAACTATAAGCAGTCCGGTTTTCAGTTTACTCTGTACATGTACTGCAGGAACACGTTACACCATTTCTTTATCCTATAATGTTGTTGTTATATGTACTTAAAGGCTGCTTAGTTTATTTTTCATTCTTTAAAATGGAAAGCATGCCATGGTATTGTTCAGCGGAGTCTACTTTTATACAGTCTCTGAATAAACAAATCTGAACACTTCAAGTGTGAATGGTTTGTCAAAACTGTATGCAGTGCGAATCAAATCTGATCTGGCAATGCTTTAAAATGGTGTTTTTTTCACATCAACACACATGTAGGCCTACCTTTTTTCTCATTATTATCATGTTCACTCTCGGGGTTGTAGAGCTCATCGTCCTGGTCAGGAGCATCAGTCAAAATGTCTTCCAGCACATTCAGTTCCCCATCTGAAAATGAACGTACAGTGTAAAATTATTTCAAACACTGCATTTCAGATCAAGTACATTGGCATGTCTAGGTCACTCACTCCAACATGAAAACACAATGCCATGTAACAGTATCAAATACAGTAACAGGCTCATACACATAAACAATTCATATCTATAAAAAATAATACAGCAAGAGATGAAGTATTTACCAAAGTGATGTTTATTATTAAACAGTTCCCGTGAACATATTCACGTAAAAAGTCCAAACGCTGTAATTCTACATTAGCAGAAATTCTTTTTTAATTTTGAGATATTTACGTTACATAATGTGTTGTATATAACATGTAAACATAACAGGTCTATGTTTGATGGCTAATTTCCTAAAAGCAAATCGGACAGATCACGTACAACATCTAATAAAACAAACAACGACATTTCTTTCCAAAAACATTCAATATAAACAAAGTCCTCCATGATAACATGAGTTAGCATCGTGCTAAGCTAATGATCGCTGCTGTGTTTCCTCAACAAACTCTTTGTTAGCCATAATGGGTATGAATGTAAATGGATTTACCTGAAAACATAGCTAATGAACAAAAGCAAATACTGTATTAAAACAATGGCAATAAAAAAAAAACACAGATGTCTATTTTTTTTAACAAATATTTGGCTAGTACAGGCACAAATATCATCGTTTACCTTTCTCATCTCTCCTGTCGGCAGACATCTTCAGCCCCCGTGGATTAAACACACCTTAAAGGCCCTCCTCTCTCTCTCTAGATTCGTTCTTGACAATTCAATTAATTCCCAGTCCTTTTAGAAACTATTCCACAGCATTAAATGTTTTGTGGCTCGAGTGTGTGTGTGTGTGCTCTAAAATGGCGGATGTCTTTCTCCCGCATCGCAGTGAACGAGGGTTGCCAAATATTCAGAGCTAAACTACGCCTTTGTTATGCGCGCGGACACACTGCTGGGTCATTCCTAGCATTCGGTGCCATTTCAGTCCCCATGATATAATGTGGTATATTTTCTGTAAAAATTGGCTAATACTTGTTTCTAAATCCTCATCTTACAAAGTTACTGCCCCTCTACCATAGAACACAATACATATGTACCCAAAATTAACTTAATAATTAAAAAATAATTACTCATATTTTAGTGCAAGTAGGCTAAACTGCCATGTCCCCAAGTAAGCTTGCATAACTTCAGCCACAAATATAAGTATTGAAAATCAAACAAATTCCAACATTTTCAATATTGTTGTATATTCTTATTTATAATATTCCTCAACAAAATATATTTTTTGTTATTTATACATTTTTAATGCTTAAAATCTTTAAAACATGTTGTGTCCCTGAATTGAATGTCCCCCCTGTTACTCTGATGAAAAGTCCCTCTGAACACGGCCCTTGAATGTTTCTCTAATAACATGACTCTCAGAAATGACTCTCTCTGGTGACAAATGATTCACTGATGTGGTAAAGCATAACACGTCCACCCTGTTATGCTTATTTATAATTTTGAAAATATGGTTAATAAACATGTTAAAAATCTTCCTCAATGATCACTACGCACTAGCTTGTTGTTCATCACATGAATAGCAATGGCTGACTTTAGCATAAAATGTCCCTTCTGTTACTGTCCACCCTGTTACTGTTTTGCACTGTAACAGGGTGGATGTATTGTAACAGTCAATTTAAAAATAGCTAAATATGTGTTTACAGCATGTATTGGTATTATAATTAATTTACTATGCATTTAAAACAAAGAGTTTTTTAAATGGTATGCATGTATTTGTCAGGAAATGGCACCGTTGTCTGCTGCAGAAAAGCAGCGACGCTACAGGGCTCATCGTGATGCAGACCCTGAAAGAAGGCAGATATACCTCAATAAAGAGAAGGAGAGGTGAAGAAAGGGAATAAAGGAAGGAACAAAAAAGAAAGTGTTAGAACTCAGCTTTGTTGATTAGAAGATGTAGTTTTGTGTTTTGAAAATCTAAAATAACTGTAGTTTTGTGTGAGGGGTAGGTTTAGGTGTAGGCTTATGGTATACAGTTAAGACACAGTATATAAAATACAGTTTGTACAGTAGAAAAACCATTACGCCTATGGCATGGACCCATAACGATGGGAATAACAGTTTGTGAGTGTCTGTGTGCGTGTGAGAGAGAGAGCAAAATAATATGTTCTCTAAAAAATTATAATGCTCTCTATAATTTTAAATTGTAAAATACAATGCTAAACATATTTTGTAGCCTAATAAAGGGATAGTATAACAAATTATATCTTATAATAATAGGTATAAGAACAGCTTACTTTAATGTGGTGTAAGTGACCTTATATCCTATAAACTGTTATATACAGAACCATTTATCTGTTGTAGTGATTGTAAATTGTGACAATATGCTTCTTGTATTAGGCAATATATTGACAAATACTGTTGTTCAGTGGTGTGATGTCCACCCTGTTATGTCCTGTACCTCAGTAGTTTTTTTAATATTAATAAAATAAGTACAACAAATGTTATGCATATCTTTCTGGTTACTTGTAGGGAATGAAATGGTAAAATTTAATAATTTAAAATAGGGCCAAAATTCCATTGAAATTTCTTCTTATTCTAAAAGAAATGTGTTGAAATTACACTGTGTCTTAAAATACATCAACTTTTTTTCAAGATAATGCCCGATTATGAACACTTTGTTAAAATACATTTGCAGGGTAAAGAGAGGGACATTTTAGCTCTTAGAAAATGTAAATATTACAACAACTGTGCATCCAAGACACTTATTAATTGAGACGAGAATGTCCTGTAACAGGGTGGACATTTGGCCCTTGCATATGTGTGAAGAATTTCATGAAAAATTATAAAAGAATAATATCCTGAGCTGGACCAATATATTTTTCTTATAGTGTAACAAGCCCTTCTTCAGATAAAATGATTACATCATGGAAATTTAAACATTTTTTGAGAGAAAGTTACCAAGCTGAAATGGCACCGAATAGTAAGAATGACCCTGCTACTGTTGGGTTTTATTGTTTTTAACCTTGTTCCAGACCATTCAGTCTTAGGTTTTGGAAGTCCGATATACTGTATATATATATATATATATATATAGATAGATAGATAGATAGATATAGTTTACTTTTTAAAGAAGTCTCTTATGCTCATCAAGGCTGCATTTATTTGATCAAAAATACAGCAAAACTGTAATATTGTAAAATATTATTACAATTTAAAATAACAGTGTTCTATTTTAATATACTTAAAAAAAAATTTGTTTTTTTGCTGTGATCAAAGCTGAATTTTCAGCATCATTACTCCAGTCTTCAGTGTCACGTGGTCCTTCAGAAATCATTCTAAGATGCTGATTTATTATCAATGTTGGAAACAGTTTTTGCTATTTTTTGGAACATGTGATACTTTTTTCAGGATTCTTTTATGAATTAAAAGTTAAAAATAATTTATTCAAAAGCATTTATTCAAAATAGAAACCTTTTGTTCTTATTTATTCTTATTCAGAACCGGTTCTGTTTTTTGAAAAGAACCGGAACCGTGAGCAATTTCTAAGTTTCGGATTCGAAAACGGTTCTGGTGCGACACGTGACCAAGCGCTGTGAGCATAAAGGATGTCACAAACCAAATAACAGAAACGCTGCCCTGCCTCTTTAACTGCCGAACACATCGTTTTCCACGACTGTACGCGCAGATAATTGAAACTGTGCACGTTGTTTTGTCTGACTGTACATGTACCGGATTATGGAGTGTGTGTATACATGGTTATAACTATAACAGTTAATATTTAATTAATTTAGGGAAATGAACAAGTGTCTTAGACCTCAAGGGACTATTTGGCCAACCAGCTTATTCCTGCTTGAAAAGCAAAATGTTATTGATAGTGTAAAAAACATCAACTTTGAAGCACATGTGATTGATGGACTAGCATTACTCAACATTACTTACTACCTTCCAGCAACACTACATTCAATGAAGGTAAAATAGTAAAAAAAAAAAAAAAAAACAGTTCATTTAAATGGAATCGGCACCGGAATCGTTAGGCAAAACTGGAACTGGAATCGGAACCGGAAAATTTCAAACCATACCCAACCCTAAATATAAGTCTTTACTGTCACTTTTTAAAATCAATTTTACACATCCTTGCTGAATAAAGGTATTTTCATTAAAAAAAAAAAATAATTTTTTTACTGACCCCAAACTTTTGAACGGTAGTGTATATTGTTGCAAAGGATTTCTATTTTGAATAAATGCAGTTCTTTGGGGGGATTGATCCTTATTCCCTATTCCCTGGTGGGTTGTCAGCCACTGCCATGCTTTAAGAATATGCTTTATTTTGTCTCTACTCAAAGGCTTAAGAAAGCTGCACAAATTACACAGTCCTGCATCTTGAAAGAAAAATGTCTGCTTATTTGCAAAAAAAGGCCTAATATTGCCTAATTTGATGATACTGACTTCAGAAATATCTATAAACACTTTACCATCAAATACGTTTTATTTTCACAAAATAAGAATGAAGACTTTTCAAATTATATAAGCATATATGTGTCAGCTTTAATGCACTGATCAAAATAACAAAAGCAGTCAAACATCAAAAGTTTTTAAATGACAAAAATAATTATTAAAAATCATTCAGTGTCCTACTCCCTGATCACAGGATATCTGTTGACTTCACTTGACCAAATGCACTTATTTGCAACACCCTGCAACGTCATCAAACTCAGGTGAAACTCAAGTTGTGCATATTAGAGGAGATTAAAGTTTGATTTATGTCTTTAAATAAATACAACTTACCATACTTTCATTTAAAGGGGTCATATGATGCGCTTTCAAGTTTTCCTTTCTCTTTGGAGTGTTACAAGCTGTTCGTGAATAGATAAGATCCCTAAAGTTGCAAAGACTAAAGTCTCAAATTCAAAGAGATATTCTTTATAAAAGTTAAGAGTCAACCACGCCCCCCTAAAACGGCTCGTTTAGACACGCCTCCACATGTCTACGTCACGATGTGGGAAGATTTGCATAACGCCGCCCAAATGTTCACGCAAAGAAAGAAGGCATAACTTTATTGTTGACGCCGTCATGTCGTGAAGATGCTGTGTTTCGTTGTGAAAGCGAAAATACTTTGTTCGGTCTTCCAAAGGAGGACACGACTAGAAATCAGTGGTTAAGTTGTATTTACAACACTGTTCCAGAACAGTTTAACCCAAATATTCAGATGTGTGCAGCGCATTTTATGGAGGACTGTTTCCTGATCCTGGGAGAGTAGACTACAATGCCGGCTGCTGACTCACAGACTATAAGTACGTTTTTTATATTTAAAGAATTTGCCACTAACGATTCAAACGCGAGTTTTG